ACAAAAATAACACTGCAAATATCTCTTTCTCCAAAAGAACTTAGCTAAGGAGAGGACTTATTTTCTGCTAAAAGAAGATAATTTTTCTTTCAAATTAGAAAAAGTTAAAAAGCACTCTGGCTATTTGTTAAAGTAGTTTCCAAATGTTACGATGTTCGTTATGGTTCTCAACAAAGAAACAAAAACAGGTTTTGAAAATAAGACTTCTTGAATCCATTCAGGCCTAACAGATGACCTAAACTTTCTATATGTTCCATGAGGGCACCCCACTGTCTGTTATATTCAGGATGTATTATTCCCTTATCTGCTGTACCACAGACTCCAAAATAATATTTGTTGAATAAATCATCACAGCAATGAATTAAGAGAAAACTGACATAGTACTTTCTTTGCTTTTGTTTATTATTAATAATATTTTTAAACAATTTTTTAAATAATTTAGTAATAAAACTGACACTAATATATTTTCTAACTTCCATACAGCCTTAAAAGCAGTACCTTGAAAGATGGGAGTATGAACAAAACCTCAAATTCAAGAATTTTATGATTCAGGGACTGGCTTTTCATCTGTTGCCAGACCTCGCCCCCTCAGGAATTAAATAAATATGCTCTGGCCTATTTAGAAATGAGTACATGAACAATGAAAAAGAAGTAATACAGTTCAGCCCATCTTGCAAAGCAACCCACACCTATAATAGGCGGTACTTACAAAGGACCTAGAAGAGTCCCTCTCACAGAACAGGTGCTCAAGAAATGCTAGCTGCCATTTTTAACATGGTACAGCAGGAGTCATTCATAAGAAGCAACACATACAATACCCAGAAAAAAACATCAAATACCACTGGAATGTGAACGGAAATAAGAAGAAAGGGCTCTATAATGTGGGTGAGAAACGTCTGAAGGTTTTTCAACTAAGCAAAACAGCAACCTTGAGTAACAACTGTGGAGACACAAAGGAAAACCCTTCCAGTGGCAACAACCCTTGTGAGGGAGAAAAAAAGAGACACAAGCGGACCACTGCAAGCAAATGAAACAATGTGTGTGAAAAGAAAACATAGACAGGCAGCTGTATGGTGCCTTTTCAAAGACCTCCCTTCTGTGGTGCCCCAGCTAAGGTTACACCGAGGGTTGCCCAAGAGGGCAAAGGGCAGGTCATGGAAGGCCTTTATGTCACACAAAAGAATACGAATGGAATTGGTAACAAAGAGCTAAAAGACTCTAGTCTAAGCTAATAGTAACTGAAAAACAGGTGAGCTATAGCATCTTGGGCCTCTAGGAAAAAACAGACTATTCTGGAACAATTAAAATCAACAACCATACTTATTTAAAACCAAAAGAAATTAAGACGAAAACAAATTTTTAAAAATCTATGAATATTAATAAGACATTTATAGTCAACACAGTCCATTTTTGATATTCAGGGGGGAAATTATATCAAGTTCCCATGTGTGAACATCCAGCAAACCTGACTTGATTCAATGCTGTATTTTCTCTTCCAATTAAAGTTAGCTCTTAAGAAAATAAGTTTTTGCTCTGAAAGACCACTCAGTTTAGTAAATTTACCCTGTGCTTTTTACTCATAATATTTTACATCAAAAGATCATTTTTCTTTTTTTCTTTTTAAAAAAATTTTGTTTAATGCTTATTTTTGAGAGAGAGAGAGACAGAGTATGAGCAGGGGAGGGACAGAGAGAGAGACAAGGACTCTGAAATGGGCTCCAGGCTCTGAGCTGTCAGCGCAGAGCCTGATGTGGGGCTCGAACTCATGAGCGATGAGATCATGACCTGAGCTTAATTGACTGAGCCACCCCCCGGCACCCCAAAAGATCATTTTTCTTATGTTGTTTGGAAACTATGAAATTGTTCAACAAATATTTATTCCCCAACTACCGCATGTCAATTATGGCCACTAGATGCAAGGACAGGAAAACACAAGGATGAAATTCACACTTTAAGAACACCTACTTTCGGGGTGGCTGGGGGGCTCAGTCGGTTGGGCATCCAACTTCAGCTTAGGTCATGATCTCACAGTTCGTGGGCTCGAGCCCCGCGCCGGGCTCTGTGCTGACAGCTCGGAGCTTGGAGCCTGCTTCAAATTCTGTGTCTCCCTTTCTCTCTGCCCCTCCCCTGCTCACGCTGTCTCTCTCTGTCTCTCAAATAAAATTTAAGAAATTAAAAAAAAAAAAAAACCTACTTCCAACCGTGGGGGAGAAGAAGGGGGGAAATAGGGGGGAGAGGGAGGGAGGCAAACCATGAGAGACTCTTGAATGTTGAGAACTGAGGACTGATGGGTATGGGGGGAGGGGAAGGGGGGTGATCGGCATGGAGGAGGGTACTTGTGGGGATGAGCACTGGGTGTTATATGGAAACTAACTTGACAATAAGCGATCTAAAAATAAATAATTTAATTAAATTTTAAAAAAACAAAAACAAAAAAACACCTACTTCTAGACACTATTTTGGGTGCTTGTAGCTCATTAATCCTTGTCAAAAAACTTCCTTCCATTTACACACAAGGCCCCTAAACCTTAAAGCCAGTAAATAAAGTGTCTAGAATGTGGACCCCAATCTGACTTGAAAAGCTCACGTTCTTTCTCAGATGCCATGAAAATAAACATAAATAAGACACAATTCTTGCCCTCACCAGCTTAAACCTGGGAGGCATACATGCCTATAATATAGTTCCTTTGCCTAAAATATTCTTCCCTCCCCTGAATTTTCATTTGACAAACTCTTCTCTCAAACTGAAATTCAAATGTCATCCATTTTAAGAAATTTACATCAGTTCCCTGAGGCCAAGCTGTCTTCTATCCTCCTGTGAGATCTGGCCATCGGTCTTCAAATCCCTGGAAGGAATATATCAGCTAGCACATGGCTGCTCTGTTTACAGATCTGATCTTGGGCAGTCAGATTTGCTCTCCTGGGCCCTAGGCCAGTGCCAGGCACAAAGTGACCAATGAAAAACTGTTGGGTAAATGAACAGATGGTGGAAATCACCCAAAGAGAAGTGCCAGTTTAAACTCTGAATGAACATAGAGGCCTCTTTTGGACAGTGTATAAGAAAAGAAAAGATGGCTCAGGACAGGAGATTGGGAAAGGTCTACAACTAGATGGAGGAAAGAGAAATCAACTAAGAAAGAACAAACCAAGGAAAGAAACAGAACTGGGCCACAGAGCTAATGGGGCATTATCACAAAGTGGATGGAAATCAGTAGTCTTAAATCACCTAGAAGCTCAAGAAAAATGAAAAGAAAATGATCAATGAAAATGGAGTATTCCATTGTATAGACAGAGAAGGACAGATACCATATGTTTGCACATACAGGAGAATTAGGAGGAACTTAACGGAGGACCATGGGGGAGAAGAAGGGAAAAATAGTGGGGGAGAGGGAGGGAGGCAAGCCATGAGAGACTCTTGAATGCTGAGAACAAACTAAGGGCTGATGGGGGTGGGGGGAGGGGAGTGATGGGCATGGAGGAGGGCACTTGTGGGGATGAGCACTGGGTGTTATATGGAAACCAACTTGGCAATAAACTATTTTTAAAAAAGAAAGAAAATGGATAGGAAATTAGTGATGACCATGAAAAGAACAAGTCTAATTTTTTTTAAGTTTATTTATTTTGAGAGACAGAGTAAGCAGGGGAGGGGCAGAAAGAGAGGGAGAAAGAATCCCATACAGACTCCACACTGTCAGCTCAGAGCCCAACACGGGGCTCAATCTCACAAACTGTGAAATCATGACCTGAGCTGAGATCAAGAGTCAGACGCTTAACCAAGGAGACACCCAGGCACCCCTAAAAAGAACTATACTAGAATGGTAGATTAGAAGCCAAACTGAAGAATCCAGACCACTGTCAAGAAAGAGGCAGTGGGTCCAAAAAGACTCTGGCTATAAAGGAAGAGGGGTCAAACAGAAGCATAATAGAAGAGTATGCAGGAAACAGGGATTTATACACTTAGGAAAACACAGCCCTGTCCCTGAGTTTGGAGTATAGATTCAGCCTTGGGCTTCTGTACCCACCAGAGAACTGAAATCATGCCCAATACAAAGTGCCAAACACAGAGATAACACACTTAGAAGAAACAGCTAATATTGAAGATGATCAAACCAACATTCAGTGCATCAACAAGATCAAAGGATGGATGGAAAACAAATGGTAAAAATTAAAGAAATAAGGCAAAGCCTTTTACTGAATGGATTTCATTATTTAACTAAAGGATGGGTATGACCTGGTAGTATACAGATTGCCATTTGAAAAATCTTCTCAGAGTCTGGAGACTGCTTTGGATTCTTTGTCTCCTTCTCTTTCTGCCCCTCTCTTGCTCTCACTCTATCTCTAAACAATTCATAAATGTTAAAAGTTTTTAAAAATAAAAAAATATCCACCCAATGAAACATTAGGCAGTACTTAAAAAGTGATGATTTATTCAATCACTTTTTAAAAATATTTATTTCTGAGAGAGAGAGAGACAGCATGAGCAGGGGAGGGTCAGAGAGAGAGGGAGACACAGAATTCGAAACAGGCTCCAGGTTCTGAGCTAGCTGTCAGCACAGAGCCTGACGTGGGGCTCAAACTCACAAACCATGAGATCATAACCTGAGCCGAAGTCAGACGCTTAACTGACTGAGCCACCCAGGTGCCCCTCAATCACTTTCTGAGTACATTAATTTGTGTTTAAAAATCTTAGTAATGAACTAAGATAATGTTTATAGTAAATAAAAGCTCATAATACTAAACCACACACACATAATATGAACATTGTACACTCTTTGTATAAAGGCATTTTGAAAATCAAGTAACAATGACACAAAATGCTAAGAGGACAATAGTACTTGAATTAGGTAATGAAGTAAATGTACTTCCCATACAACATTCAACAACATACTATCTCAACAACAACAAAAACTATAATATATAACTTCCTTCAACAACAGCAACAAAAACAGCCTGGGCATATACAACTCAGTAAGTGCCCACAGTATTATTTTTCCTTCTTTCCCACTCAGATGGCAACTTTTCCCCTCACTCTTCAAAAGGAAGAGAAAAACGATCATCAGGAAGAGAAAAAGGATCATCAATGGCCAACAGCTTCAGAAGCAACATGCAGAGCCGGCTGCTCACTCAGGAGAGGGCACTGCACCCAACCCTCGTGGTTTCGGTACTCTCCACATTCAAGGAAACTTCTCTAGTACCAAACTACTGAACGCATAGTCTTCCCATGCACAACATTTTATAAAAGGGAACTTTTGATGTTCCAGAAATAACTCACAAAACAATAAAGCAAAGGGTCATCAATTCATGGGCTAGATAACAGAGGAGCACCATTTTGAAATGGCCAAAATAAGGACATGCATGTGAAAAGGAACAGAAGCAAGAGACTTCATATACTGCGCATACAATGGACAAAATATCAAAGAACACAGGACACTGCAGGGCCAAAATTGTGTATATATTCACAAGACTAATTCCTTTTGAATCAAAAAAGCTTAGGGACAGTTATTTTGGTGATACATTACAAAAATCAATTTTTACTAAATATGGAATCCCCACATGACCCAATAATTCTACTCAGGTATACAACCAAGAGAACCAAAACCTGGATTCACACAAAAACTTGTTCATGAATGTTCATAGCAGCATTATTCATAATAGCCAAAAAGTGTAAACAATCCAAGTGTCCATCAGTTGATAAAAAGATAAAATGTAGCCCCTTCGTACAGTAGTATATTATTTAGTCATAAAAAGGGAATAAAGAATTGATAAATGCTCTAATATGGATGAATCTTAAAAACACACTAAGTGAAGAACCCAAACACAAATGGAGAAATACTGTAGGATTCCATTTACAAGAACTGTCCAGAACACAGTAATCTGTGGAGACAGAAAGAAGTCTAGTAGTGGTTCTGAGGGTCTGGAAGGGAAGGGGATAGAAGTGAATGTTTAATGAGGATAAAGTTTCTTTGCAGTATGATGAAAATGTTCTGGAATTAGATCATGGTGATATAACATTGTGAATATTTTTAAATCACCAGACTGCACTCTTTAAAGTGGTTTTAAAAATTAAAAAAAATAAAATTATTAAAATGAGAATTTTATCTCAGTAAAATCATTAATTTAATCATGTTTGGCATAATCTAACCTCTCACCAAAGTAAATGTCAGAATTAAAGGATAATTCCAATATAAATAATAAATCATTTTTGTAACATGGGTACGCTATTTATTAAAGAACAATATATCCTTTTGATAAACCCCAAATATAAACATTTAAACAGTTTCAGACTGCCTTTGTTTAGATTTGCTTCTTCTAGTTCTTAACCCTTCCAGCTATATTATTCTTTTCCTTTAAAATCTCATCTGACGCAATAGCATATGACACTATGATAGCACAGGGGAAAAGGAAAAAGTAAAAATGCTCCCGTTATGAGAAGGTTTTTCATACTGTGGACTGTTTCAAGATACAAAATTTTAAAAATGCAAATAAAACATCCTGTAAGTTTACTTTTGCAAAAAAGACTAACATGTTGCAAACTATTAAAGGCAGGTCTCAAACGGTGGGTTAGGAAAAAAGAAATTGAAAACCTTCCTCAAGGGGCGCCTGGGTGGCTTAGTCGGTTGGGCGTCCGACTTTCGCTTAGGTCATGATCTCGCGGTTCGTGGGTTCGAGCCCCGCATCGGGCTCTGTGCTGACTGCCAGCTTGGAGCCTGGAGCCTGTTTCAGTCTGTGACTCCCTCTCTCTCTGACCCTCCCCTGCTCACGCTGTCTCTCTCTCTCTCTCCTAGAAATAAATAAAACATTAAAAAAATTTTTAAAAAAAAGCTTTAATAAAAAAAAAAAAGAAAACCTTCCTCAAAATGAACATGTATTAAACACAGTCTAAGAGGTAATTCCTTAAGGAAAAAAAATTAATGAAACTGAAGATTAGTGGAAATGATATGATTATTTTAACTTGATATAAAAATCATCTTCTTAAAAAAATCTTCTAAAAATGAGAGAGGAAGTGGATTACATGACACTTACTAGAATGAAAACAACTTCAGATGAAGTCTGAAATCAGGGAACCTGGGTGCCGTAGTCAGTTAAGCGCCCAACTTTGGTGCAGGTCATGATCTCGTGGTTTGTGACTTCAAGCCCCACATCAGGCTCTGTGCTGACAGCTCAGAGCCTGGAGCCTGCTTCAGATTCTGTGTCTCCCTCTTTCTCTGTGTTCCTCCTCTGCTTGCACTCATCTCTCTCTTTCTCTCTCTCAAAAATAAACATTTAAACAAAATTTTAAAAGACTGAAATCTTTTTTCAATAAACTAATTAAGTTTTTTCCAACTTCACCTATAAGAAGAATCTTTCAGTCCTTCATTTGCTAGCTAAACGGAGAAGGGAAGTGTGTGTGTGTGTGTGTGTGTATGAGAGAGAGAGACAGAGAGACAGAGATCAGGGGGAAGGTGGCCAGTGTCTAATTCTGCTAAATAAGGAAATCATTACTCCCACAAATCTCTGGAGTCCCGACAAGTTACGCTGCACTCACGACTCTCCCCCAGGACTAGCTATAATAGAGTCATGACATATATATGTTCCTCCTTTCTCTACTGTGCTAAAGCAGTTTTTATTTTAAAAGAAAGAGTTAATTACTTAATTTTCCACCATCAGTGCTTCTCAAAATTTAAAGTTCATACAAATCACTTGGGGATCTTGTTAAAACACAGACTATTCACACTGGTGGCTGCCAGAAAGGAACTGAGTGAGAAAATGGATGAGACAGATAAAGGGAAAAAGAGTACAGCTATCTGGATGAGTGTTGAGAAATTTATAGAATTTTTGAATCATTATATTGTACACCTGACTCTAATGTAACACCGTATGTTAATGATACATGAATTTAAAAAAAGGAACTAAAAGCAAAACAGATTCTTCTTCAGTGGGCCTTGGGGTACAGCCTGAGATTCTGCAATGCTGCTGCTACATAACACACTCGGAGCTGCAAGGATCCAGAAGGAAGGCCACATCCAACACCAGTACGCCCTGGAGAGGACAGGCCGAGGCCCAGAGCCAGTACACCCAGGGGCTGCAAGGCCCAAGCTCCTCACTGTCAAAAGCCAACTCCATCTTACCCCAAAGGACCTGAGACTAAGGTCTTTACAGACCGAAGACACTCCATCACAGGGCATTACAAACAACAAGACCTCACTCCGCGGATGGTTCCAGAAAAAGAAGTGACTGTGCACCAAGGATTCCAACGGTATCCAGGCTCGTCCTTGCTTCATACGGCGAGATCCGGGTGTTCAACTCCATGGCTGATGGCTGGTCTCTGCAGCACCCAACGAACAGGAACCTCTGACAAGGGTGACGAGGTCTCGTCTGCAGCCGCCCCTCTTCCCTCACAGCCTCCACTCCCGCTCTAATAAACAACTTTCAGGATTTAGAGCAGCCCCAGCTCTCCCTTCCATCAAGCCTTCTAGTTCAAACTTACTTTACATTCAGACTTCATTTCCTCCAGAAATGTATTTCCTAAAACATTCTTTGACGCACCCCACCCCCAGGCTTGCAGGGTGTCCCTACTGTGCACTCACAGGTGCTCCGGGACCCCATGGCTGCACTCACCGCTCTGTACTGCCCCACCTGACTGTCTCAGCCCAAGCTCCCCCAAAAAATCAAGCCCTTATACAGTAAGGCACCCACTATACATAAGGAAGAAACGTCTCTACTTGGAACCTAGAATGGCACTATTTAAGTACCACCTTTGGGAGAACTGAAAAAACGGGCTCTCAAGTCATAGTCTACGTTATGTGGTTTAGAACCAGATCCTGCCTATCTTATCCCACACCACGTTCCTAAGGCATAGCGTGTTGCCTGACTCATAACAAGCACTCGTCAAAACCTTGATGGAGGGGGCGCCTGAGGGGCTCAGTCGGTAAAACGTCCCATTCTTAGTTTCGGCTCAGGTCATGATCTCACAGTTTCATGAGTTTGAACCCTGCATCAGGCTCTGCACTGGCAGCTCAAAGCCTGCTTGGGATTCTCTCTCTTCTCTTCCTCTCTCTCTCTCTCTCTCTCTCTTAATCTCTCTGCCCCTCCCCCACTTGCACGAACTCTCTCTCTCAAAATAAATAAACTTAAAAAAACAAAAACAAAACCCTGATGGAGGAGTTGTATGAGTGAAGGACCCACCCATGCTGACAGACCATATATATTCTAAACCATTTACCTCAATTGTTCATTCTGTGTTCCTACCCATTAGAAATCTCCTTGGTTCCTGACCATCAACTCACTGCCCATTTACAGCCTTATACTCAACCCTTTGAACTGATCTTTGTCACCTGCCTCAAACATTGACCTTTATCTGACCTACTACTGCCATCCTCTACTATGTCCTGTATCCCTGACAATTCTTCCAGTGACACAAATGGGCTAGGTTTGACGCTAAAAAGTTCTGAGTGGAGAACCACTTATCTTTTCTCTGCTCACTGTAGGCACCAACTGACGCTATCCACCGCTCAACCAAATGGCAAAAAAGGCCCAAAGCATAAAGGTAGGGCCTGGGGACACTGGATGAGGAAATGCATTATGGAGAGAGACAGACATGCCAGCCCGTTATGGAGGACAGTGTGCTCCCCAGCTTTTTCTGCTTCTAAGGATATTACTTAGATCTTACTCTGCAGGATCTATTTCTAACTTGATCAAAAAGGAACTATAACTATGATAAACACACATCAAACTCTTAATAGCAAACAGTGTTCACACATATTATTAGAGAGAATAACTCCAAGAAAAAAAAAAAAACACAGAATTCAGGCAACTAACTTCCAAGAACCCATGGAGTTATAAAGACTCTTTAGAATTTTCTGCCTAAACATCAGAATTGGCAAAGAGGAAGTCAAACTTTCACTCTTCGCAGATGACATGATACTCTACATCGAAAACCCTACAGACTCCACCAGAAGCCTACAAGAACTGATCCAAGAATTCAGCCAAGTTGCAGGGTACAAAATCAACGTACAGAAATCAGTTGCATTTTTATACACCAAAAATGAAGCAACAGAAAGAGAAATCAAGAAACTGATCCCATTCACAATTGCACAAAAAACCATAAAATACCTCGGAATAAACCTAATCAAGGATACAAGAGATCTGTATGATGAAAACTATAGAAAACTTATGAAGGAAATTGAAGAAGACACAAAGAAATGGAAAAACATTCCATGCTCATGGATCGGAAGAATA